TTTTATAGATTAAGTATTACCCAAATGTTCTGTTATTGTATAGTTATCCTAACGAGTTAGCTCTTATAATAATAATAATAATAATAATAATAATAATAATAATAATAATAATAATAATAATAATAATAAAATAAATCAAATATTCCAGATACAATAATTTGACTTTTTAGTATAAATTCAATTTTTCCAAAAAGTTAATATTAATATCAAAAATAAATTCAAAAATTACACTATTGGAATAAAAAATCATCTAAATTTGAAGCTTCAGATTCTAATAATAAGGCTTAAATTTTTTTTAATTCATTAATGAAATTTGTTTAACTATATTCTATATTAAAATATTTACAATCTCATTAGCAACAATCAATTAGAAACCTGGTAAGAATCTCTTTTATTTCAACTCCCACTATAATTTTTTCTTTTTCCAAAAATTAAATACAACTTCTCATCATACTAAAAATGTTTATTAGGAAAATGTAATCCTTTGTAAAATCTAAACCAATTTTTTACTCTAAAAAACAGGTTATCATTAAATTTATTATTAAGACTTTGCAATTATAAGAAAGTAAAAAAATATTATTTTGAATAAAATATTTTCTACATCTTTATGAATCTCTAATTATTTTTTTTATAATTTCGAAATCAATCTATAGTAAATATTATAATTTATACATAATGTCCACAAAAGATAACTTTTTTTTGAATTTTCATTAATGCTATTTCCATTTAGAGCATTTGTATGATCAACTAATTTTTAAGGACAGACCCATTAATTCTCTTTTTTCCCTAGCATACATAGCTAGATGATAGCTTTCAAGTAAATAATAGACTTTCATTAGAACTATCGTGTAGCATATAATACCTATCTAATGATTTATTAATCTCTAAACTTATAAATAAATTGCTAATAAGTACTAAAGTCCTATAAAAATTGAATAATCTATTAATGTAGGAACCAAATGATAAGATTTCAACATTAACCTTAGCATAGATATCTCATTAATTTGAGCTAATAATTTATTTATTAGCTTTATCTTTTTTAAGTTAAAGCCATATAACTTTATTATTTTATCTTCTTTAACAGATTTAGTATGGCAATATTTACTTAAATCTATTTAATAACAATTTCCAATTTAATTGATCATTAATTATTATTAAAATTATATGTAGATTTCGTTTATTCAGAATTTTTTTTGCTATTTACAAATTCAGGTATTAACTTAAATTTTCTGTCATTATGAAATCTATTAAATAAATTATTTAATAAAAACTGTTATGGAATATTAATAACAACTTACAATTATTTTATAAATGATAAAATTAATATTTTTTAGTACCTTAAATATATTATAGATGGTTTGAATATATTTATTGAATTTCTCTAATTATTTCCCCTAATTAATTTTTTGAACAAATAACTAGATGTTCTAATAAAATTTTCATAGCCACTAGGCTTATTAAATTGCTGAGGAAAATTTAAGCTTTCAAATATTATTAAAAATCTTTTATTAATTATATATTTTTAAACTAACGACTCTAATCAAAAAACTATTTCATATTTATTAATTATCGGTTGAAATAAAGCTTGTTCCTTTAAAATGTGTTTTGCCTTTATTAAGCAAAAATAAGCAAAAAATAATCAAATTAAGATATTAATATTATCATATCAAATCTAAAATTGAAGACTCCATCTATTTCTTCAAATAGAAATAGATTGACTTATATGCTGCCAAGTATATAATTGATAAATTTAAAGTATATTGGAAATAATAATAATGCAAGTTTTTCTCTCTTTTAAAAATACATGCATTTTTTATTTGGAAAATAAACTATTTGCTTAGTAAAAAGATTATCCTTCGAAGTTAAAAATTGTATTTAATCAAGTGAAATAACTTTACGAAATACTCTTCGGTATATTTATATAAAAACTATCATATAATTGTGAACCAAGCTTTTTAACTTCTTCTAAATGTTCTTGCTCTAAATTGTTTGTTAAATAGATTATTTCATAAAATAAAAACTAAAGAGGATGAAAATATTTAATTAATAATAAAAATAAACTATTTATTATATGTAAATTAAAAATCATAAATAATAAATTTGTTAATATTTTAAATCATAAAACAGTTTGATTTCTTATAATAATTCAATGAGATTGGAGGAATTAAGTGATTATTTATGATTTGATCTTTAAAATTAATCTGATTTTGAAAATAATTTAATAAAACTGAAAATAACCGTAATATTTATAGCTCATATTCTATTATAATAAATATTATTTCTCTTTATCTAAATAAAATAAGAGTGTGCTTTAGAATAATTAAAAATAATTATTGAAATCTTCATTTTTTATTATAAGGAAATTCTATTTCATCATTTATTATTATCTCTATGATTAGACCTTAATCTTAAAAGTTGATTGCTCCTTTTTCATTAAATTATATAATTTTCAATATAGAATCTTAGTTCCCTTTATTAATTCCATCCAAAAATCTAAACAATTAGTTTTAAGATGAATTAAATTTAGAAGTAAGGATTATCTTGTTTACTTAAAAGTCAGTTAGGTTGATTATTTCAATATGCTAAAGAGAAATTGGAGTCTTTTATATCCCACTTCTATTAGTAATCAAATGACAATCCTGCAAATTTTAAAAACTTCCAAATATTATAGCAACCTTACTCATTAAGGGGTACTTAATTATTTCAAATTGCTTTTATTGCCATAGATTACTATTCGACAAAAACTAAAAACATTTTTTAAATGATATGTTGGCTTTTTTGTTTAGATTGAAACTACTACTGATAGAACTAATGCAGGGGAATGTTTTTTGATGAACAGGTTTATATCAGCAGAAACTTAATAAAATGCTTGCTAATAACATAAATTATAGAGTTCTCAAGGACTTAAAAATCAAAGGTTGTTTAAGTTTATAATTTATAATACTTCTACTAAACAATTAAAGGAGTCAAATATCTTAATATTTCTGTAAAATTTTAAGGAAGAAAATTGTTAAATTTTGGCAGTATATCTTTATTCTTCCATCCATTAAGTTCTAAATATATATACAGTTTTTGTTATATTTTTAGATTATCTGATTGTTTTTGACGAATTTTGTCTTCTGGGTTCTGATTTTTTAATGTAATAAAATATTCAAAATCATTTCATTTTAATTATTGAAAAAATAAATAAGAAAAGTATATTCAAGTAATTCAAGTATTAATAGCAAGATTTAAAGCAGTTGAGATAAGATTTAATAGAAACTTATTAGGATTATTAATTAGAGTCTATTGTAGAGATCATTTAAAGGTTTTCCTATCTAATTAAATTTCATAATTCAAATCATATTCTAATTTTGTACAGTATATTATTTCTCACTCTTTGATTAGTTTCAAAGGTTTATTAAGTGTATAGGGGTAATTGGCTGAAAGAAAAATCAGAATCCCTACAATTTCATTTATTACTCCATTTTAGAAGGAATTGTAGAAAATTCAATTTGTATACTGATGAATGGTAATAGTAGAATTAAACTGACCTAGATCTACATTTCTGAGTCATCTAAGTTTTGATTTATTTTTAGAAAATTAATTCCATCAGACAAATATTTTACCCTCATTTTCACATAGACTTGAGTCTATGATATAGATGAAGCACAAATACTTACAAATCATACCAGCCTTTGCTGTAATCTAGCTTCCAGACGTATTAGAAGAATTCACTATATCAGACACTGATGCTTTGACACAGAGATCATATACATCTCTTTATTTTATAATAATTAAAATAAGCAGATTGGCTATTGGAAATAAAATAATTAAAATTATTGAACTATTTTTATTTCTATAAAAGATTTTAAATATTTAGCAGAATCAAAAAAGGTTAAAAAAATTGTATATAAATATTTATTTGAACAGAAATTAAAAATCTTAAAATTAAAATTCCTGACGATAAACTTATTGTGATTAAATTTAATAATTTCAAATAAGCAGGTATATTCATTATTAGAAATTTTATGTCCCAAAAATATTCCATATGATATTAAAAACAAGTACAGTTACCATTGTCTCATTCTTAAGAGTAGGAAAAGCAAGAGAGCTAAAATAATTAAGCTGGTAAATTAATTCTATTTTTAAAAAGAATTTCATAATAAATATATGATATGTAGAGGAGTTTACATAATTTACTATTTGTTTCAAAAACCATGGAATGAGCAATTAGACACTCTAGATTTATTCATTTATTAAATGATATCAATTAAAATTATTTTTTTCAATATATTTTAATTTTTTTGACTCATCCTGTTTAAATGCTTGTAAATATTATTTTACTTATGATATTTCTTTTTGAGTTCTCAAACTTGAAGATCAAGTAACTTTTACTTTCATTTATAGTATCTAAGTTTCTTTTTGATAAGAGTTTTCAAAAAGAGTTTAATAAATAAAACCATTTAAATTTATATATTAATTTAACAAAATATTCTCTAAACTTAACCCATTTTGTAAATTTCAATTATTTGAAGCTACTCTATGAAAAGAAAAAAAATTGAATAGCTCTTAATTTGCTCTGAAACTTTTAGTTTGGCCTAAATGAAATCCTAATTTATCATATAGTTATATTCATAGCTTCCTTTCTTCTATTAATTAATTATTTTTGGATTTTTACTCCTTCCTCTCTTAATTTTCTAAATTGATTTAGTGTTCAACAATTTTTTGAAAATTTCCAGAAACATTCCACTAAATTATTTTAGAAATACTATAATTAATCTTTACTTAAGATATAAAATAATCTAGAATTAATTATAAATTATAATCGCTTTTATACATAAAATAAACTATACTTTTGGATTCAAGTTAAATTTCCAGCATTTATTTTTAAACGAGAAGAGTTTAGTATTAGAGAATAAGTAATTTTGATAAAATCATAATTGAAGTAAGCTTTAAAGTTATTGAATGATAAGTTACAAAGTAATAAATTATCTCAATAAATTCTTTTTATATATAATTCATTTATGTAATATCTCATATGATTTATACTTTTTATATATATTATCCCAAAATACCAAATACTATCCATTATTGGTCATAGTTCCATAAATCTAATCATTTTAACAATTTAATGATACGATAATATTAAATGTATCATTATTTAATTGTCTAATCAGATAGATATGATGTTTATGTCTTACCAATATTATATTTTTATCTTTATTGTAAATAATTGGGAAATAAAGATTATCATCACATTCATTATTCTTAGTCAATTTGATAGTTTTATTAATATTTAATTCAAAGACTCCATTCTATATTTCAAAAACAAAAATAGCATCAATATTTTTACGAAAAGTTACCCAAAGTAATTGTTGATCATTAATTAAATATATTTTACGTCCATCATCTGAAACATCTTTTCTATATTTAAATTCCCATTTTCCTTATATTCCTTTTTCCCATATGATAAAATGATTATATCCACATGATACCAATACAGTTTCAGATGAATTAAAACTGAATGAATGTACTTGATTACTATGTTAATCTAATGAATACTGAAAATTCAGCTCATTCTTAATAAAATCTACATTCCAAACTTTTATNTAAATATTATTTTACTTATGATATTTCTTTTTGAGTTCTCAAACTTGAAGATCAAGTAACTTTTACTTTCATTTATAGTATCTAAGTTTCTTTTTGATAAGAGTTTTCAAAAAGAGTTTAATAAATAAAACCATTTAAATTTATATATTAATTTAACAAAATATTCTCTAAACTTAACCCATTTTGTAAATTTCAATTATTTGAAGCTACTCTATGAAAAGAAAAAAAATTGAATAGCTCTTAATTTGCTCTGAAACTTTTAGTTTGGCCTAAATGAAATCCTAATTTATCATATAGTTATATTCATAGCTTCCTTTCTTCTATTAATTAATTATTTTTGGATTTTTACTCCTTCCTCTCTTAATTTTCTAAATTGATTTAGTGTTCAACAATTTTTTGAAAATTTCCAGAAACATTCCACTAAATTATTTTAGAAATACTATAATTAATCTTTACTTAAGATATAAAATAATCTAGAATTAATTATAAATTATAATCGCTTTTATACATAAAATAAACTATACTTTTGGATTCAAGTTAAATTTCCAGCATTTATTTTTAAACGAGAAGAGTTTAGTATTAGAGAATAAGTAATTTTGATAAAATCATAATTGAAGTAAGCTTTAAAGTTATTGAATGATAAGTTACAAAGTAATAAATTATCTCAATAAATTCTTTTTATATATAATTCATTTATGTAATATCTCATATGATTTATACTTTTTATATATATTATCCCAAAATACCAAATACTATCCATTATTGGTCATAGTTCCATAAATCTAATCATTTTAACAATTTAATGATACGATAATATTAAATGTATCATTATTTAATTGTCTAATCAGATAGATATGATGTTTATGTCTTACCAATATTATATTTTTATCTTTATTGTAAATAATTGGGAAATAAAGATTATCATCACATTCATTATTCTTAGTCAATTTGATAGTTTTATTAATATTTAATTCAAAGACTCCATTCTATATTTCAAAAACAAAAATAGCATCAATATTTTTACGAAAAGTTACCCAAAGTAATTGTTGATCATTAATTAAATATATTTTACGTCCATCATCTGAAACATCTTTTCTATATTTAAATTCCCATTTTCCTTATATTCCTTTTTCCCATATGATAAAATGATTATATCCACATGATACCAATACAGTTTCAGATGAATTAAAACTGAATGAATGTACTTGATTACTATGTTAATCTAATGAATACTGAAAATTCAGCTCATTCTTAATAAAATCTACATTCCAAACTTTTATAGAATCATCACAACCTCCTGAAATAAGTTGATCCTCCTATTTATTTAACATCAAACAATTAACTGTTTAATTATGTTATTTGAATGGCTATGAACACATCCAGTCTTTTTGATTAATTTATTGCCAACAGATGATAGTATTATCAAAAGAACCAGAAATAAAGTTATTTCTCATTTTGCTATATACCAAACATGTAACAGCCTCTTTATGTTCTTAATATGAATTAATTAATTTTAATCTTCCTTATTCAAAATTCCAAATTTAAATCTCCTTAATATTACATGAAATCATAATTTATCCAGTATTATTAAAAACTATTGCAACACAATAATAACTCTATTAATTAGAATCATCAATTAATTTAAGTTCAATTTGTTTATCAATCATTAATTATTATTCTTATTATTTCTATTAAATATCTATTTAGATCACTTCCTTTTATTTATTACTATTATTTTCTTAATTATCTTCAATCAATATCTCCTTGTCTTTTATTTAATTGAAATTTTGTAAATTTATTAATAGTTCTTCACATTTCTAAGTTTCTTAAAATTATTTAAATAAAT